CCTCAGTTTCTTTAGACATTTTTCTTGTGTCGTGCTAAGCGTTCTTGCTTCAAGGAAAAGCCAAGATCACTTCGGTTGAAATCCTTATTTTAATGAATGAATGTTTTAATGTATTATGACATAAAAAAGCCAAATGCAAATTCAAATGTAAATGTAAATATATGAATGTAATAATAAGAATACAAATTGTGCAATACAAAAGCAAACATAAAAGTACAAATGCAAAGATGCAAAATGCAAATATGCAAATGTAAAAATGTAAATGTAAATTATTCAAAATACCAGAATAAGACATCCAGTTATATTAAGACTACCATTTTCTTTTATATTGAAAATAAATAAACATTATTATTTAATTAAATATGTTTTAATGCATGATGTAAGTTTAAAAATGTAAATGTAAATGTAAATACAAACGTAAAAATGTACAGATGCAAAATGCAAATGCATGTATGAAAAGGTGTTACTAAAGAGTGATCATCTTAGAACAGATTTCATTGAACACAAAAGTTTCCGTGCATCAAACAATACTTTTACATATAAAGGACAACTTTCAGTCCTAACTTCAGCATATAGGGGATAACTTTCCCTCCTAACTTCTCTAAAGCCAAGTTAATCTATTAGCTTATGGGTCATATTGCTTGTATGGACTGTAGCTTCTTCCAGGACATTCTCTTTCATCTTTTGTATCAGTTCTCGGAGTTGCTCATTTTCCTTTGTAAGATAACCTTTGTGTTCAAGAAGTTCTTGGACAAGATATGCATATATGTTGCAGTTCTTTTTCAATTTGGTGACCCCTGTGATCCACTCTTTTGAGGTGTTTCCTATGCCAGCATTTTAAAAGGCTTGACTGAACTTCTGGAAATCTTCATGCATGGTTTCCACTTCTGTGCTCAATTTCTTATTTTGGTCCTTCAAATAACATGCTTGAGCTTCATAAAAACATCCTTTATTCTAAATGCCTTGATTAATGCTTTTACCATAGACTGCTTTTGGTATCAATCTGGAAGGATCTTTGTGTACTACTTTTGGTATTAATACAACAGGATCTTTGTGTGCAGAACTCCTCTCGATCCTCGGAGTTTCCTCGGGATGTCTTTCTTTGGCTGCATCATATTTTGTTTGATCATAAAACTTTTTGTCCATTTATGATTTCTTTCTAATTTGATGAACAGTCTTTCAAGTCAATAACTTTTGATTATGCCATGATCATGTAATGCAAACAAAAGAAATCAATATAAACAAATTTAAAGCAAACAATATGTATGAAAAATAAAAATGAGAAATGAAAAAATAAATTGGTTAGTACCAATTAATGGAAATAAAAGATCATATTTATCAAAGTATAAATCTTAACCTCATGCTTTCTAGTTCCATGCTTTGTTTGGAAAAATTAACCTAATTGCATGATTTCTAGTTCACATGCATTTATTCAGAGAGAAAAATAATAAATTAAATAAATTAAAAGCTAGAACTTATGTCTCCTTTGTGTACACCTATGGACAGGATTTCAGTATTGTCTTAGATTAGGAGAATTTCTAGGGATTATTATATGCAGGGTTTCAGTTCTAGGAGTAAAGAGTACTCGAATTGTCCTTGTTAGTGCCCCATTAGGCTGCCAAACCCTCAATCCTAGTCCATTACAGACTTAAGCAGATCGAGTTCAATTCGAGGGGACACATTTCCCTATGCCTGACACGGAGAATAAATTCTCACGAAGACGTCGCTTTCACTCTCATTTAAAAGGGACAAATCTCAATTATAGAGATTATGTTTATGCAATGCAAGTGTTGTGTGTGAGGAAAAATGTTCAAACCTCTGACAAACAAATAGATAATGAAATTTAATACTTGAAAATAAAATAAAAATATTAAAAATTAATATACATATAAATATTATGAAAATAATAAGTATATATAAAAATTTTGCAAAGAAAGAATTATAAATTAAATATATGAATTTTTAATTTCTAATTAATAGAGACAATTTATAATTGATTTTAAAAGCTTGACCAGAATCCCCAGTGGAGTCGCCCGTAACTGATTTTTGCCCGGGTACGAATTTTTACTTGGCGGGAAAAATAAAACGAATAAATAAATGATTTTGATTTAAAAAATATTTTGGGAGTCGCCATTGACCTTGTTGGGTTAGGTAGGTCAAATACCTAAAAACAATCTTTTAAAATAGTTTTTAAGAAAACATAATTTAAAAGATAAACTGATCTTCGTATAACAAAAAAAATTAATAAAAAGGATTTGTGGTCGGTTACGTTTAGGGAATGATTAGCACCCCTATAATGCCCAAAATTGGTACTCATTAATTATAATTTGTCTCTATTATTGGAAATTTAAGAATTCAAAAATATATTTAATTTATAATCTTGTTATTTCAAATTTATAATTTTAAGAAAATCTATTAATTATATATATATATATATATATAATATTTATTTATTTAGAAATATTAGAAAAGAGCTTCTAGGTGCTTTAAGACAGCTCATTTCTTAATATTAAAAAATAAATAAATATTAATAAAATATTTCTATTAAAATAAATTAGTATAAATTTATAAAAATAGAATATTTATTTTTATTAAGAATATAAGAAAAGAACTTCTAGGTGCTTTAAGACATCCCATTTCTTAATATTAAAAAAATATAAATATTAAAATATGATTATTATTTTTTTAAGTAATTTATAAAATTAAATTTAAAAATATGATTTAAATAGAAAACAAATAAGATAAATAAATAAATATTATATATATATATATATATTTATATGACTTAAGATAATACTAATAAAATAATAATAAAAATAATAATTTAAACATATATCAAAAATAATAATAAAACAAAATAAAATTATAAAAATTATAAAATTAACTTAAATAAATAAAAACGATATAAAATATAAAACTTAAAGATCCTAATTCGAATTATTTAAAAGATATGTACTAATAATGTAATTTAGCCTTAATTAGTCATTTCGGGGTTTAACATAAAAGTTATTAAAACTTAAAACTATAATTTGAAACATTAATATAATATAGACATTAATAATGCAATTTAACCTTAACCCTAAACATATATATAAGCATATATAATTAGTGGCGATAATATAAAAAAATAAAATTGAAATACCAAATTAAAAGACATATAAGTTGATTTTAGTGACCATAATGTAAATTTATAAAACTTGAATGACTGCGGAAAGGGTTTTACCCTTATTAAATTACAGACATGCCCCTCCCCAAAACGACGTCGTTCAGGGAGGGTATTTAAATCCAAAAACCGGCCTCCTTGGGCCAGTTTCTTTCATTTTCTGGTTTGGCTTCTCTCTCTAAAAAGAAAAGCTCTTGTCTTCCTTGGCAAGAAAGAAAACTGGCCACCGGCCGACAGCCATTTTCCGGCACCGACACTCCCACCGGCCACCGTGACCGATGGCCGGAATTTTACAAATTAACCCAAATCCTTCATTTTTAAACCCTAAAGCCAAATATGATGCCCTTTTCTCCTAAAACCCTCTAATATTTCCTATATCTAAGGAAAATACCTTCGGTATTTTCGGTTCGACGGCGGTTTGGAGGACTCTGATGGACGTGGTAAGTTTCTCTCTTTTCTCTTTGTTTTTCTTTTTGAATGGTTGTTTGTTGATGTGGTATTTGGCTTGTTGTTTTGATCTCTCGCCTCTGTTCGTGGTGGTTTTCTGCTCTCTGTCCTTTTTTTCTTTTTTGCAGGAGTGGTGGCTTTTATAGCCACCATCGAGGCTCTCGTCGGACCGGTTCCAGAGATGAGTTCTGGTGAGTCACCGAACCTGTGGTGACTCACTGAAGAACGGGACGCGTGGACGGTTGGAATGACTCTCCTGGGAGCTTCGACGGGCATCGTGGCATTGTAGAACGTCGGCAGCGGCTGGTTGGACCATCTGGCTTGGAGGCGTCGACAGAGTGGGACGTGGGGCGGCTGGAAGCATCTGGAGGCGGCGGCGCTAGGGTTAGAAACCCTAGCAGGAATGATACAAACCCTAAAGGGTTTGGGTTATCTGTTGGGCCATCCGAGTTGGGCCTGGAATTGATTGGGCCGGTTCTATTGATATCTTTGGGTCGTGTAACTGGGTCATCTATTGGGCTTCCAGATTTATAAAATGGGCCTGTAATATTTATTTAATAATATTTATTAATAATAATAATAATAGATAATAATAATAATAATAATATAATAATAATAATAATAATAATAAACAAAATGAAAAAAACTATTGTCTTCAAATGCACTTCTATATGTTTTGTCATTTACATGAAATATCAGAATTTCTGCTAACAAAGAAATCTTATTTGATAATTTGTTGCCTGATAAAAATCTTTCATTAGTTGTTTCAATCGCATATTTTCTTGTGTCACTGATGTTGTCTATAGATATTCTATTTTGGTGTTCAATAATGATATCATTAGTTATCAGTTATCTCTTACTACACCATGATATTATTCTTATTCTAAGATTGAATATACCTAATTGTCGATCATCGTACATCATAGTCTCCAATACAGTTAGCTTTATAATATTCAACCACCCAAGGATAGACCAAGGGGAGAGTGGGCGAGTGTAATTTTCCCTTAAATTTTTATTTTTATTTTTGAAAGATATCCTTTGAAAATGTTAAATTATCATATATTTTAAATATTTTATTTATATTAAGTATTGATAATTTATTTTCGTCTCTTAAAATTTTATAAGATAATAGTTAACTTCCTAAAATTTCTGATGCATGTCTCTTAAAAAGAAAAAAGAAATTTCCCTATCCTAGTTCAGAAAAAAAAAATACCTTACTCAAAGAAAGTAAGCAAAGTCCCATTAGCAGAAGTACCTTTCATATTGATCATATAAATTACAGATGGGCTTTAGATCTCCATCCCAAATTTGTTTGCAAGTAGACTGAGATACATAAACTGAACCAGAAGATTATAGTTCACAGGTTTTGCCAGATAACATATTAACTGCAACACTACTTCTAAACAGATGATTGAAGGCCAATGATACCTGCTCAAAGTCAATGAATCAAATGTTAGATCCACACACATACAGAAATAGATCTCGATATCCATCGATTCATTCGTGTCGAACTAAATATTTACCACATCCAACTCTTGCACCGGCATTCCCTGTTGTCTTGCTAAGTTCATGTCTACCTGCATTAGTTATTATATTTAGTCAAAATAAAAAAAATCATCACACAAAGAGAAATAATTATGTCAGACAAGAAAGAGTAGAGCTAAAAAGTTGGAGGAGCCTATTGGAAGGCAACAGAAGCAGTGTCCTAAAACATTTCAGGACATCATCAGAAGCTAAGTCGCTGAACCCTTTTATACTTTTTGTTCTCGATTCGGTTTGTAAATTAGTCGTGGGGGAGTACGATGTGCGATAATTGAAAACGAACATCGGATGTGAGAAACAACTTATCATTTGTTAAAAAAAAAGAATATTTCACCTTTGCCAAAATCATCAGGATCAGCATGCACAACAACTGCCCTCCCTAAAATGGAATGCTGTCCACCAAGTGGAATCTGCAAATTGAAACAAAAAGAAGAAAAATCATTATAGCCAAGTACAATAAATTCAATCTCCAAGAAGCCAAAACTGCACAAGAGTAAGAAAATCAAATGAACTTGATAAGCACACCACTGGTCCAAAGAACAAAATCGATTCGTTGTCACGGGCCACCAAATAAACAAAGAAAATAGAAACATCTAACTTCTAAGAATCAGAGAATCACCAAGCTGCCTTACCTGCCAATCTTTAATTGAAACCTCAGAGACCCCTGCAATGGAGACATTTGAGTTATAATCATAAAAAACCATAAACCATTCACAAATAATGACATATCAAATGAAAACTCATTTACATGAAGGAAACAGCATATACCATCAGGGCCGGCAATAATGTTACCCAAATCACCAGCATGGCGCTCTCTGTCGCTTGGAGCTCCATGATCCTTCTTTAATGGATTAAAATGAGGCCCTAAAGTTCAGAAAAAAAAGAGCATAGGCAACAAAAATCATCATATGTTTTATAGGGGAAAAGAAACTATTTAATGAAATAATTGAATAAACCCAAATTTAACCGAAATTTAACACAAATGTTGAAACTTTATCAGAAAAGACCCCAAAAAAGGGGGGAAACCCTACCTTAGAGAAAAATGCCATCAACCTAAATTCAACAGATTTGTGCTAGGAAAACCCCATCTTAAACTAAATGGTGTCAACCTAATTTATACCAATTGCATAAGTTAAAAAGACACAATCTTCATCAAAGAAAAACAGTCATCTTAGCACCATAAATGGGAAAAAAACAAACAAACAAACAAAGCAATCAAAGGGGATTGGATAAAAAAGTTGAAAAAACAGTTGGAGATACCAGTGGAATTGCAGCCATTGGTGGTATCACCAAGGGCATGGATATGGAAGCCGTGAAGGGCAGGAGACAGGCCTGTTATCTTTCCTTGGACATGGGTTATCCCTATATGCATAAATATTTACAAGTCAAATACATATAAAACTAAATTAACCTCAAAAGAAATTAAAAATCAAATTGTCTCAGAAGATGAAGAGACATAGAGAAAGAACCGTTTGGGATTTGAGTGAAGTGAACAGAGCCTCTAACGTTGTTGTCTCCTGTGATGAGAGCCACAGCTTTGAGTGTTCCTCTAGAACCACCTTCCATTTCTTTATCTTCTACAATTGCTTCCCTTTCTCTTATTCTATTTATTTACTATTAGTATTCCTTTGGTTAATAGTAATTATTCCACCTTAGTAAATTAATTCCATTTTTTTACATTTTTAGGATTTTCTTAATTTTTATTTCTACTATTAAAAATAAAATTATCTCAATTATTGAGATTTAATTTGGTCGACATCTTATTGTAGAGATAATTTAAGTAAATAAAACTAGAATATATAAACCAAAAATCTGAGCATGTGAAGCAAGCTTATACATCTAAAACATTGCTATCTATACTCAAAATCTCCAATTTGGGGTGGTATTTCCAGGTCACCTCTGGGCCATCCTTTTTGAAAGCTTATCTCAATTCACTTCTAATGGCTACCTTCCCAGATTTGGTGTCACTTGGAAACATGGGCGGATATGGGATAAGTGTCGAAACGATTTTTAAACGGCAGGGTGATTTTGGAAACCGCGTCATTTTTAATTATTCTCTTTTCAATTGAATTTTTAATTAAAAACGATGCCATTTTAGAAAACCTCTCGTTTCGAAAAATTGAAAATTCCGTTACGGTAAAAATATAAGGTTCGAGGAGTCGCCACCAATCTTTGATTAGGATGTGATTGGGCACCCAAAAACATTTTGTCATTTTAAATAAAAATTAATTTTAATTAAAACGACAAATTTACGGTCTACGTTACCAAAATCCAAGTTCGGGAGTCGGTTACGTGTGGGGAAGGATTAGCACCCCCACAACGCCCTAAATCGGTACCAAGTCGATTAATTAATTTCTTTGCAACGAATTTCACAAGTTCAAATTTGATTTGATTAATGATCCCTTTAAACGGCAAACATGCAAATTTGCAACATTCAAAGCAACAAAATAGATTTAATTTAAAATTACCAAGTCATTAGAAAGATAAAGAATATTCGATTATTTAAAAATATCGAGACCAGATCTTTAGTTCAGTTCTAACGACCTTTTCTCGAAAAGTTTAAATAGTCGAATATTTCCTTTTCTTTCGCTCCCAAATTTTACAATGATATATCCAAATTTAATTAGGCGTTACTGACGGGATACCATTTTAATTTAAAATCGTCAAAACACCTTCCCTGTAAGTTAAGGAAAGCCATTCTGATAATTTTAGATTAAAAGGGCATTACCCTTAATTCCGATTATGCAATAATGTCAAGTTATGCATATGAGGATATCATGCAAAAATTATACGAAGTGATGTTAATGCAAAAAATAATTAAATATGCGATTAAAGTGAACGAATTCAAACATGCTCATAAAAATAAATTACACCTACGTGCGTATGAACAACATGCTTGAAATAATATATACATGCATATATTTAAAATAAATCTAAATTAACCTAACAATCATGCATAAAATATTAAAAGGACTAAAACATAAAAAATAAATAACAACAACCTTTTTCATAACATTTTCATTTCTGGGTACTGCAAACATAATATAACCAAAATATTGCATAGGATCAAATTGAAAGCTTCTCAAATTACATATCCAATGCAAAAAAAACGGAAAAAATGGCCATAACATGATACGGGACCAAAATAAAACACTCTGGAAACCAGGAGGTAAGATTAAAATTCCCACAAAGCTCGGTTTAAGGACCAAAATGGAATGAAACAAAAGAGGAAGGACCTATTCTGCTGTTAGCCCAACGTCCTAAAACCCGGTTCTCCTCCCCTAGCCTCAAACGTTACTGTTTCATGCCTCCGTGAAACTACGCCGTTTTGGCGTTATAACAAACCAAATGGTAGATTTTTTAACCCTAATCTCATTTCTTCTTCAGCCTCACCAAACCCGCCGTTTCACTCTCATCCTCTCTCTCTCGATTCTTCATCTGGTTCAACCGAGACTTCGCCCTCACCACTCAACGCCACCGGCTGGCCACCAGTCCTCGGTGGCCACCATTACCCCGACGACCACCTAGACCAACTGGTCAACCCAAAACAAGCCTAAACTAGACAACCCCTCACCACTCTTCTCAAACTCCCTCTGCAACCCCGAAAACCAAAGCCTCCATCGCCAGAAAACCCAAAGATCTCCACGGTCACCGTCTAAGACCGAGACAAACCCCTACCAGAAAACTTCAACCCCATCACGAGACTAACACCAGACTTCCCGAAAACCCCAACGAAGACCCCGATGAAAGCCTCCTCTCCTTTCTAGCCTTAAACCTTCACTCTTACGAAACCCACAACCCAAATATCACAACCACGAAGCCCATTGCCAACCACCGTGGCCAACAGACTCCGTTAAGGAGTTAAAACTGTACCCCAAACCCCAAACATGACCAAACTTACCCAGAACTAGCCCCCATAGACCCCGATGAAACCAAACACTGAAACAAAAGCATAATCGATAGCTTACCCTTGGTGACCCAACGGGGTTCGACTTTCAAATGGTGGTGATGGTTACTCTTTCACTCAAGGAGGTGAGGGTTTCGTTTTTCCTTTTGTTGTTTTTGCTCTCCGATTGCTGATCGTTTTTTGGTTCGAGTATTTTTGGTTGTTTTCTCCTTCTTCTTTTTTGTGTGTTTTCCCTTTCTGTTTTCTCTCCTCTCGCTGATGATCCTTGATGGTTTTTTTTTCCTCTTTTTTGAACCTTGGTCACTCTCTATATCTGTTTTTTGTTGTTGGTTTTCTCTCCTCGATTTCTCCGTGCCTCTCGTTCTACTTCTTGTTTCGTGTGTTTGCAGGGCACTGGTGAGAGCAGATCACGGGCGGCAGCTGTGGGGAGCCGAGCTATTGTCCGGTTGGCGTGCGTGGTCTGGCAGCAGAGTTGGCTTCACGTGAGACTGCAGCTGGCTCGGGATGCTTGGGACGTTGTGAGCCGTTGGATCCTGATGCCAGATCCAACGGTGGTAGCTTGACGGCGCTGGAACCCTGACCAGAAACCCTAGTGGTCTTTGATCTGGACCGTTGGATGAGAAGCAGATCCAACGGTCCAGGACAAGCGGCGGCTGGATCCATAAGTTGGAAACCCTAATGGTTTTAGGGTTCTTCAAACAGGCTTGAACATCCAAGCCTGATTATTTTGATTTTTGGGCCACTTCGGTCCAGCTGGTTGTAATTTGGTATAGGCCCTGTAATAAAACATTTAATTAGTATACTCATATGTATTTTAATTGCTTAACATTCATTATAATTGCTTAGTTGCTCATATATATATAAATATAACCAAACATTAATCATATAAACGATAATAAATCCAATTCAACTTCAGAAAAGATCCCGGACAAATCGAGCATCTACAGCTGCCCCTCTTTGCTCATTGTCGTGCAACGAGAATATAGCAAAGATCACTAGATGATCAAATTTGTCCGATTATGAGAAATTCAAAAGATTAATCGGCTCCACTGCAACGTCCATAAAACTGGTTTTATCCCCTATTGCTTCAGGGAGTAAAACTCGAAAATCTTCGTCAATCGTGTCTGCTCCCCATTTTTCCAGAGAGTACAAGACTCAAACGATTCTCGATAATCATGTCTGCTCCCTATTTTTTTCAGAGAGTACGAGACTCGAACAATTCTCAATAATCGTGCCTGCTCCCTATTTTCTTCAGAGAGAATGAGACTCGAACAATCTTCAACGAACGTGTCTGCTCCCTATTTCTTCAGAGAGTATGAGACTCGAACAATCTTCAACAATCGTGTCTGCTCCCTATTTTCTTCAGAGAGTATGAGACTCGAACAATCTTCAACAAACGTGTCTGCTCTCTATTTCTTCAGAGAGTATGAGACTCGAACAATCTTCAACAATCGTGTCTGCTCCCTATTTCTTCAGAGAGTATGAGACTCGAACAATCTTCAACAATCGTGTCTGCTCCCTATTTCTTCAGAGAGTATAAGACTCGAACAATTTTCAACAATCGTGTCTGCTCCCTATTTCTTCAGAGAGTATAAGACTCGAACAATCTTCAACAATCGCGTCTGCTCCCTATTTCTTCAGAGAGTATAAGACTCGATCAATCTTCAATTATCGTTGGGAAATCTGCAAACATTTAAAATAATCATGCAATGTCATGATCCTATTTATGCCTACGATGTATGCAATTTAATCCACTTTCTTCTTCGAAAGAATACTATCCCCTTTGATTTCAGTGGAACTCGGTTTCACTTTGGGCATAGAGCATTTCACCAGTTCACCCCAATTGATACTCTCAATACTATAACTTTTGGCTTGACAAGACTTTGACTTCTTTCTTTCTTGAGGCCTGCCAGTACCCCTGACCAATCTTCTTGATAAATGACAACATCCTTGGGTCATCTATTAATGGCTGTGATTTTCTATGAATTCCAAAGTTTTAGCTTTTCCCAACCATACAAGCTTATGGGTAAAACCATTGCTAGCTTCAGAATACATGCATTTCCAGAACCTTTTGCATAATAATACAAAATGATCTCATGTACCACAAGTTAAGCTATGCGTTTTAACTTTCTCAAAATTAGATGCTTGTAAAAGGGAAATCAAGAAGGGAAAATATCTCTTTATTTATATAAATGGCGAAGAATTTTTAGGCAACTACATGACAAACTTTTAATCGGAAAAGAACAAAAGGATAGGTGTCTTCAAATATCAATAACACAAATGCTTTTGAACTGGCACGCCGTCAGAATGACTCGAGTGTAGCTTCTGTCAAAAGGACCTCCAAAATGGTGATGACACCTAAGAGTGCGAAACCCTTTCTGGACCCCAAAATCTCCCATTATTGGATGCCATAAACCAATATTGAATCTCACGTGCATTCAATTCCTCCTCTGGTTGTCCCCACCGAGACTCATTGATCTTTGGTCTCAACCCCAATGGCCATTGTCGTTACCCATGTCAGGAGATCTTCCTACTCCCCAAAAACAATTCAGATCCTCCACCATACATGAACTCTGAATTTAAAACTCAAATCGCCCTTTGCGGGTTTTCGACTCGATCGGACTTTGGTTTCAAGACGCCCTTTTTCGAGTTTTCATCTTGAACCCTCATTTTTTCATTTTTTTCATTCATTTTTTATTTTTTATTTTT